AAAATATAACAGAAAAACCAATTCGCACTGCCAATCATGTAAATTCCAATATGCAAGCAATGCTCCCGAAATATATGTTCCAACTGTATTTAGCATTTTTTTTTGTTAATAGGAATACTGTTTTATGTTTTAATGTTCATTTTTGTTTTGACAAATCCCCGCTTTTTTACTAAAAACAAATTATGGGTCAGTATGACCCAACAGGAGCAGTTGCGTTATCATTTTTGTACGATACTATTCTTTGGAGATGATACGGTTAAAAATGAAAGTTTGTTGAAAAAATTAACTCAACGTTTTGGAAAAGATATTTGTGTGATTCAAAGTGGAAGAAAGCCAGTTGTTTATTACAAAACATTTAACTTGGCCGAAATTTGTTCGAAATGGTTTAGTGATCCAAATTCATTACTTGAAATAGAAAATAGTCTTACACGTAGCAACCAATATTATAAAATTTGATGTTAAAAGTAATTCTCCTAAATTAGATTCGTACCCAGCAAAGTTGTAAAACCTGTAACGGCGAAACCTGCAAAAATGCGGGAGAACGTATAAGGTACAATTTGGAAGATATTGATATCGAAGAGTCTGATGTTGAGAACGATTGGGATATATTTGACAATGATCCCATCATAGATCCAGACGCTCTAATAGATTTAAACCATCTTTCCGATTAAACGATCTAAAAAGTTAATGTTAAACTGCATTATTTTATATTGAAATAAAGATTTATTCTGATAAAGCTGAAGATTTTTTACTCTTCGCCCTGTATAAAATTAGAAATATTACATTTTATTCTTACAATAATTTTTAAATATAATAATTAATTATTAAAAATATGAAAGTGCCGCAACTTGAAAAAGAAATTAATTTTTTTATAAAATAATTTTAAACCCTGGTAGAACATTAAGCGATTTTTCAGCTAATTATTTGGTGCTATTCGCTCAAAAGGTGGTCTTCACGATCATCCTGATCTCCTAGAATTTCGATATCGGCTGCGTTCATATGTTCTAGGAAGAAATGAGGGTTCCCTTTCGGCATTTTCCAATGTAGAGGAAGACAGCACTCCAAATTGGCCAATCAACGAGATTAGTTTAAGTGCCGAATGTTTTAAAGATTTGGAAGTAGACTGTGAAGCAGAACCAGAAAATGATTTACAAGAGCTAAATGACCTTGAACACCTAGCTGAGTTTATTTGCAGTAAACTTGAACCTAAATCTTCTTCCTTGGGTGCAAACACGGGCCTTCTCTCTTGGGTTGAATTGGGGATTATTCAAGCCCACTCACGAAATGATGACTCAGATGGAGAAGTTAAAACATATTTTTTTTAAAACAAATCAAGTGGGTCCAGAAGAAAGTATTTCAATCACAAAAGGATATCTGAAAGGGTTACTTGATCTAAGTAAATACATAGAATACAGAAAAGACAAGAAGATACTTTTTTTAGTGCCAAATGTTTTTCAGGATGAGAAAATTGAATAAAGAACTAAGTACCTAATTCTCTTTTGACACGAAAGAGAAAACTAAAAAAACTGTGACGTAGTTGTACTCAGGGTGTTAAAAAAACTCACGGTAAGCATCTCACGATAACATGTTGATAGGAAACATGTTGATTGGCTAAAGGTGAAACAAGTCGTTCCTTCCGAGTGCGGTTTTAACATTTAATATAATTTTGGATATTCAAAAGGATTATATTTAATAACGCAATAATTTTCAATTCAGAATTTTAATATTTTTGTAAAATTTTGAGCACTCAAATTTAACAGTTCAAATAACAATTTATCACTAAAAATTGAAATACACTTTAATTTTTCACATATCTTATGATTCGATATTTCCAAATAGGTATACTTCACTTCATAATATTGAAAGATATTGATATGTACTTCTTATCGATGATATATCATTTCCTTGTTTAAATATTATTATATAAACTTATCATTTGATACAAATATCGATACATTCCTCTAATGCTAGCATCCCTATTTGCAATATTTTCCAAATGACATTCTTGACTACATGACTTCTTCATTAGTAGTCAACTGAAAATGATATGACCATTTTGGCAATTAGCCATTTCTTTGGTGCTTTTCTCAATTCAATCTCAAATTGTAACAGTTGCACAAAAACCTTCATCTCTGCCAAATGTTGGAATAAATGTAGTGAGGAAAGGTAATTGTCAAAGAATATTTTGTAGACAAAATTTAGAATTTCTACCGATTTCATGAATGAAAGAATTACAGCTGCACCAAACCTATTGACACGATTTCTATTTTTCTTTCGTTTATAGATATCGAAAAACACCATATTATATTTTCCTCTAGACTCCTAGAAAATGAACATATATAGATGAAATATACACAAATAGTAAAAGATTTATATTCGATATATTCATACAATGAAATTATTACTAAAGTTTTGTATATTTCTGTGTTGGTAGTACAATCTTTCTTAAGTTCGGCGCAGTTGGCAGTAATGACCGCATTGAATTATTGTCAAATATCAAATAATTCGCAATGTTTTTTACAAAACATTATACGTTTTTCCTTTCCGTTTTCCCTCGTTTTTACTCTTGTCGTTTGTAAGTGGCCGTTGTGTTTGCTATTTTCATATCTCTAACGAATAATTCGGATAATAAATATTTGGGATTAATAATAATAATTAAAGTATTTCATTCCAAAAATATTAATAGTGAAAACCAAAGTAACGTTTACAAAGTGTTAGTTTAGTCGATCGTGCAGATAAGTATTTATTTATTTCACCATGAATTGACAAAATAAAAGGAAAGTTTTACGTTTATTTTTAGGTATATGAATTTTCAAAAATTGGAGGAAGCAACACCTACGACTTCATAAGAAGAGTTTTATCTATCATTGTAACAAATAATTTGGCCCAAAATTTTACATGGTTCGGAACAAAGCATTTCAGAAGCTAAAAATATCTGAAGTTATCAGGGTTCTCAGCGTCAGGGAAAACCTGAAAAACCTGGAAATGTCAGGGAATTTGAGCTGTGTCAGGGAAACGTCAGGGAAAGTGCCAATATTCGTCAAAAATCAGGGAATTTTTAATGTCGTCAGGGAAAATTTCTGAACGCCACTCACGCCGCGTCTAAATTCTTTATTTATTGAACGCACCCAGTTGCCTATTTCTATCTGTTTTAATCACACGTACTCGTAGATCAATAGAAAGAAAAGGATATATCTGGAGTGCATACCAGTGAGAGAGAACGTTGTGAGCGGGTATGTAAAAAAGGATAAAGATAAATTGCGTGGTGATTGTGCTGTCTGTTTTACGATTTACAAATTGTAGTAAATTATAGCTTGTATTTCTGAATTCTACAAAACACTACAAACAAATTCGTTTTCATAGAAAAAAGATCTGTACGTTCTGTATGTACTTTTTCTACAATTTACGTGCTGTTTATAAAAGGTAATAAAAAGCTGAAAATATTGTAGTATGTATTTTATTTTTTCATTTTTTAGGTTAGAAAAATGGGTGGTATTAATAAAAACAGAGTACATGCTCCTAGCAGGTGCTCAACAAAAAGCGGAGTATATGCTAAAAACTTGAGCACATACTGAATTTTCATATTAATAAAATTTAGAAGGGAAATAGAGCACCTGCTTACGCTTTTTAAGTACCTACTCCGATAAACTCACAGCAGCAGACGTCATATGCGAGTTCCGACAGGTTGAATATTAGAAAGTTATAGAGCGGCCGTGTTGCTATAGTGGATGTAAGTCTCTACATATATTAAATAAGAACTATGGATACTGAAGAAGACACAGTTAGTAGTGGGGAAACATGTGAGAAAATGATACAATTTGTTAGTGTTATTGAAAAATTTCCTATACTTCTGGAAAAATCAAACATACCGGATGTTAAAAGGAAAAAAGCGAATGCAATTTATGAAATAAAAGGTAAACTAGCAGTTGAATTTGGAATAGAGTTGAACGACACGCAAATATGGAAGAAACTAAATAATCTCAAGACTAGAATAAAAAGGAAGACTGACAAAAAACAAACAGGAAATCGGAAGATTGAATTAAAAGATTGGGAAATAAGATTCTTTAAATATATAGAAGGGGAGATAAATCCTTCAATTTGTAAAGTAAAAGGTAAGTCTAGTATACGTACTTAAAATTTGTAGCAGCTTCTTTAATTTTGTATAGGGTGATTACTTTTTAATAGAAGGACTTAATAGAAAATGTTAATACTTACCAGTTAAAAATTTCACACAACTACGAGTGTTAATTTGTTAAAGTTGCGGTATTAAATAATAGACTGCCCCCTACAAAAATACTTTCTTAAGTCTTGTACAAACGTCCACGTTTTTTTAATTTTTAAATAAAAAAATAAAAGTAAGTAACTAAAAACAAATCTTTTCAGGGGCAATTTCTGCTGGTGTACGTTCATGTGGAATGGAGGTCGCTGAAATCAGTCTTGAACAGAATGAAATTCAGCTAAAAGAACCTGGGTCCTTTATAACATCCGGTACTGGATCTGTTAAGAGTGCAGATTCCGACTATCCTGTGCCTGGAACTTCGAAGACCTCTTCTGTGATGAGTAAAGGTGTAAATGAGGGGCCACTAAAGAACCAAAAACATAAGAAAAAATTACCAGAAACTGAAGAAACCAAAAACCTTACTACGCAAGAACTTCAACGTTTAGTTCTTTTGGAACAGTTGCAAGTCTTTAGGCTTGCAAAGGAACTGCTATTACAGAAAAAACAGCAAAAGGATATGGAACAGGTCAACCCTAATACTCAAGGAGATGCGACTGATGCAATACTGCTTAACATTCCGGACAATGAAAACATCGATGAAAACTTCCCTATTTTTATAAATTTATAGAACTGATATTAAATACTCATTAATTTAACTGGGTTTTTTATTTAACTGAAATATAGTAAGTACTATGCTACAGTTTATGAATGAAGAACATTCTATACTTGATAAAAAGATATATGTAATACAGTCTAAATGCAAACAGCATCTTACTTAGTATTAACCGTGAATTATTCTTGCTATTGCATCTCTTCTCAGTTGTCCTCTCTGACGCACAACTGCCTCACCATAATCTACATTGATCTGTAAATCATCACCATTATTGTTGGCATCTTCAAAAATTTCAAAATCTTCATCGTTGAGGTGTTTTGCAATATTATGCAAAATAAAGCAGCTTAATACAAGAGACGGAACTTTTCCTGTATTTACTCGAATTTTGTTTTGCAATATAGGAAAGCGCTGTTTAACTTGGCCAAAACACCTTTCTATTATAACACGTTCTCGAGTAAAACATCTATTATATGTAATTTGCTCAGGAGTGACAGGGTCTCTGTATGGAGTCATAAGCCACGGGGTAAGTCCATAACCTGAATCTCCAAGAAGAAGTGCACTAGCTGTATTCCACCGCATGATATTAAAAATGGCAGAATTTCTCCATATGCGTGAGTCATGAACGGCTCCTGGCCAAGACGCATCGACACTTGTAAACTCCTCTCGGACGTTGCACGTTGCCTGAACGTTTAGACTGCAGAACCCCTTTCTGTTGACATACTCATCTCCGTGTACAGCCGGTTTAATGATAGGAATGTGAGTGCAGTCTATCGCACCGATAGCAGAAGGAAAATTATACTTTTCTTGCCATTTATGTTTCTCTTGCTCTAACGCTTCAGTAGTTGACGGAAACTGTATCCATATATTTGATTTTCGTATTATAGCATCTATTACTGATGAAACTGTTAATGATACCGTTGATTGGTGCACCCCAATGTCCTCACCTACGCCACTTTGAAATCCCGGGTCGCCGACATAACGAAGAAAAATTCTCATCTTCTCAGTGGTCGTTAGAGCACCACCTCTGTTTTCAAACTCATCTCCCAGGAAATGTTGAGCAAGCCATTCTACGTTATTTCTGTTAAATCGATACAAAATTCGATAGTCGGTATCCCGAGAGTCTCTTCGAACCTTATAATACTTTCTTGCACGAGCAATAGGCATAAATTCGGCCATTATTTCCGAAAGCACAGTTATTACTGATGCTGAGCTTCCTACCAAGGTACCTTAAATTATTGTGAGTAGTTGCTTCATTTGTGTAGCATATACTTACTTTTATTCATACCGAAACTTAAGTAGGCACTCAGTGTTAAGTAGATACTTACAAAACTAGCAGGTGCTCCATTGCTAAGCATCTCCTCTACGATTTTATTAATACCAAATGAAGAACCCACTCCAAAATTTGAAGTAAAAAGTATGTGCTTAATTTTATTAATACCACCCAATGTCTCAACGAAAAACGACATTTAATTACAACTGGATTGATGAGAAACTTGCTCCAGTACAGTGGAAAAAGTATTTGAAGTCGGTAGAAAAAAATAAATATCAGGCACATTGTTGTTTATGTTATAAAACATTTGAATTAAGCAATATGGGTCGACGTGCTGTTTCCAGCCATTTCAATAGTGCAGCACATGTTAAACGGCATAAAGCCATTGAAAAATACAATAATTTGCAAACAGTTCTTCAAGAAAATAGACAAACACAGAAATTGCTCATTTGAGAAAAAATATTTAAGGAAATGTTGTCCACATCCTATAATAAATATATTAAAGTTATATATTTGTTATTCAGTGAAATCTATTTTTATTGTTTTTTGTTGTATTTATTGACATTTCTGTTAAATCTCTTGTTAGATATTTATATTTGTTAATATTTAACATCATATATGTTTAATGCTGAATTAAATATTTTTAATAAAATTAAAATTATTTGTCATTTATTTGTCATCAAATTTTGGTTTAAGTTTTTAAAAATATAAATTTCGTTTGCTTTTTGTCAGGGAATTTTAAAAAAATATGTCAGGGAAAACCTGGAAATGTCAGGGAATTTGGTTTTGAAAAATTGCTGAGAACCCTGGTTATTATTAGTAAGTTGAACTAGATAGCCATTTAAATAAAAACAAAAAATTTGGGTCTCCATATATTTTTTTATAATTTATAACGGAAGGACAAATAACTCGATTGGTATCTATTGTTTTAGACAAAAACAAACATGTATTTTTGAAAAAACAGTCAAGGACATATGAAACTAATAATGGTTATCTTTTTAGAAGCTGCAGAAAAATGCGATATTAGAGACCGGAAGTTGGTTGAAGAAAATATTTGAGATGGGACAAGGAAAGGGCCGTTTTCGAAAATAAAAAATATACTACTTAGTAATGAACTATTCATGCAAAACTGATTTTGTTTTTAATATAATTGTACCCTAATTTTTTTAGTAAAAATTGGATATAAAATGATTAAGGTAAGAAAATTATAGCTTCATACAGAACTGTATTGTGTGCTCTATTTTTGTTTTGTTTTATCGACAGAATGAAAGTACAATTTACATAAGGTATTCAAAATTAAGTTGTTGTTATTACTAGCTGTTTAATATAGGAGCTATAAAGTTTATGCTGATTTGTTATGGTAAAAGCAAATTTTAGACAGACGAACACTCATATGAATTACATACAACTTGATGAAGGATACAGGGTGTCTCTAAAAGGTCTGAACAACGTCCTACCACATATTCCTGGGGCCAAAATATGATCTAACCCAACTTACCTTAGTTCAAAATTTGATAGTTTCCGAGATACGGAGTATTGAAGTTACAATTTTTTTTTTTTTCTTCAATAATTTTCTTATTAATTATTGTAGTAAATACGTAAATGTTGTATATGGAAATATGGACTCGAATTTGCTGTAAATTATAGAGGGCGCCACCTAGAATACTTTACATGCATTGAAATTGTTATGACTTTTTGTGCCATGGTGTTTTGAATTTTTAATCCAAAATTCTTATTCTCTGACGTTTCTTATAAAAAGAAAGTACCCCTGGTAAATGTCGTTTTGAACAACCATTTCTTGGATAACTGGATTTAAATGTTTAAAACATCCATTATTGTTAGTATTTTGGACAGCTAATAGATGTCCATCACGGAAGTACTATGGACATTGGTAGCTGGACAACTTATGGTTGTCCAAAAATGTAACCACTGTATGATCCAATAAATGTCCAGTGGACACCCTTGTTCCATAAACGGATATCCTATGGACGCACAGGGTGCCAGTATCTATATGTGATAAACTGGTAAGTTACAATTTTTATGATGAGTTATGGGATTATTGCATTTAGGATTGTATATTTCAGATTTATTAAATAAGTTATTGTTCTGTTAAAAGTTGCATTTCTGTATATTAGGTTCATGCAGGGTTGCCACCCGTCCCGTATTTAAGTCACATGTTCCGCGTCCCGACATTAATTCATACGGACGCTAAAAGTCCCGTATTTTCGTACTTAGGAAAAATAAATGTCTATCCACACCCAAACACCCATTTGAATAAATTCATTTTAGTCAAAAACATAATGAAATCAATTTGTAAGTGGCGGACAATAGGCAAAGATAAATCTAATTTACTTATCGCCCGCCATCTAGCGCCAAGAGGAAAAGTGTCGAGTTTACAAACTTAGAGATTTCTTTTTTGTCAACCCCCTTGTTTTGCTGTCTTTATCACTTGTATGGTGACCCCTCATTCTTGTCATTCTATTATATCACAATAGTTGGTCTCCCAGTGTGTTTCTTGCCCGGTGCTTTACATAATTTGGCAGTTAGGTATTTTAAACTACTTCGTATTTTAAACACGCTCTAGATAATTTTTAAGGTAAGTACCTAGTACAGTTTAGAAAATTTAAAAAGTATATATTTATAGTACTATGTGTAAAAGTATGTACTATAATTTAAAAATTACAGAACATGGATAAATATTTAGAAAAACTCGAAACAAATAAGAACAATGAAGACCTCAGAGAAGGCCCATACTTAAAACCTTACAAACCACAAATTTGGATATAAAAAGTGTTGCTTCATTTTCTCCTGATAACATCAATGCAAATTTTGATAAAAAATAGGTCCTGTTTCACTTTATTGAAAGATAAAAATTCAAGAATCATCATCAATCAATTAAATATTGACATTGAAGCTATAGTGTTAAAAATATATGGCCATCTTAGTTGTAGTTCGTCAAGGAGAGAAAATTTAAAAGAATTTATTCAATATGTAGATTTAGAATTTATGGAACTTTTAAAACATGACCTTACAAGATGGTTTCCCTAGCACCTGCAATTGAACGTATTCTTCAATTTTATCCTGCAATATATCTCTTGGTGATGAACGCCCGTATGAAACAAAAAAAGTTGTTAAAAATTGATGATGACGAAGTGGAGACTGAAGATATCTCTTTCACTACAAAACTGCCACAGAAATATTTTCTTTAAGGCTTGAATTAAAAACAAGTCTGGAAATGAGATTGAAAGAAGGATTTTCTGGAATGCACGTAATGCAAAATTTGCAAAAATTTAGCAGTCACGATAAATCTAACATAATTAACAATTTTAAGAGTTTTTTAACTCGTGCAATTAACTACCTAGAAAATAATTTAGATTTTCTCACACTACATATTACAAAACCTTAACTGAAAACAATATTTTGATTTCCAAGAACTTTGTAAATTTTTTGAAGAATTGCAACTCCAGGAAATTGATATTAACTTGCTTTTGGAGGATTATTCTTCCATAAAAGCGTTCATCCCAGATATTGTCAAAATTGAAGATTCTACTGCAGAAAAATGGTTAAAAACTATTAAATCCTATGAAAAACTTCCTGCTTTATATCAGGTAATATCATATGCTTAAAATCATTCCGCCTTCAAATGCTTTTAGTAGAGTATGTTGGAGAGTTCTAATCCACCCCCCACTGCTTTTTACCCCCCCACCACTTTTTTTGGTCCAGAAGACGGAGAGTTCTAATCCGCCCCTCCCACTACTTTCCCTCCACCACTTGGCCCCGCCTCTTTTTAACCCAGCCAATTAGAAGACGGAGAGTTCTAATTGGCTGGGTTAAAGAGGCGGGGCCGTGGTGGGAGGAAAGTAGTGGGAGGGGCGGATTAGAACTCTCCGTCTTCTAATTTGCTGGGCTAAAAAAGTGTTGGGGGGTAAAAAGGGATGGGAGGGTAGATTAGAACTCTCCAATATACTCTACCATAGAAATCCATGTGATAGACAGGGATGGCTATAATGAAGGCGCCTAATAGTCAACGCCCATTTCGCCCTTCCACAAATAAGTGGATCTTATTTGTGGAAGGGTGAAACGGGCGGTGACTATGAGAGGCCTTCATTATAGCCATCCTTCTCTATCGCATGGATTTCTATGGCTTACTTTATCGCTCTCACGTAACTTCAGATAGACCATCGGTACTTTCCTACCCCGTATAGCAAATTTTCATAAAATACTTTAAAGGTTTCATTGTTAACACATCAACCCGGCCGGGTTGGCGACGAATGCTACCGAGCCCGGCCGGGTTGGGAAACATACCGGGTTGCAATCTCTAGTACCACCACACTTCGTTGGTTCCGGTAATTTAATAACATCTTCAGCCGGTACCAATCCAATATCGGCAACATCAGGAAAAACAAAATGGTACCCCGGTGGTATTCTCCTTAAAAACGTTATGCAATATTCAGAAGGGTTTTCAACACTAACAACTTGGCCAACATAGTGTTTCAATGTTTTTTTGGTAGTGAACTTTATCAAAACAAAATCATTATTTGAAATAATTCCATTTACCCAATCTTCTCTTTCATTATTAATTTGATCTTCTATGTATCAGTAACCTCTGATGACTTTGACGATCGCATTGATATATCCGAATGAGAATCATCATTAATTTCAAAACAAATATTTCTTTTGACTTTCTTTACCTTTACTTCCTGCCTTTTCACCGTATCTTGCTTAATTTCCTCAATATTTGGGGTATAAGATAGAATTTTAGTTTTCACTGGTTTTCTTCCGGATGGTTTTTTTCTAGCCGAAGCTTT